AAAATACCATCGACTTGAGAGAATTAAGATTGTTTGTATAAAGTAAGCGTAAAATAATCAAATAAAAATTAAAGGTTCCGACAAATTATTTTTAACCTGAAAAATGAACGAGTGTCTCGCGCATTTCTTTGACGAAGTAAGCGAGCGTCCCACGGTTTTCCTCTCCTCTATAAGCGTCTTATTGGGGGCGAGAAACTCGCGTTATTATTCCGCGTCGTTTTCTCTGCCGATGCGAGATGTATGCCACTCGAAGATTAATCGCGCATTTCCAACAATTTCGTATTAAAAAAAACTAGTCTTCCCGCGGCATCAACGATTTCTTCTCCGGCGAGACGTTTACGTTCCCAGAAAGGATTCGTTTGTTTCGTCCAGTCTAGCATAAGCTCTTACGTTTTCGAACATTTTCAAGCTGGGGTATACACCATTAGGTTAGAATCCGAGTAACTAAAACTGCTAATCGAATCGCGGTGTCAGATTGGCGCGTCTCCGAAATACGCAAGTACTTGCTCGATTCCGCAGAATCCAGTAACGCGAGATTGTTAACCTCGCGCTCGAACTCTTCTTTACGAAATCTCGTAGCAGATTTTCATAAACGGAGACGGGCGACTCAGCAAACGTCCCACTTGGATTCTTTGCATACCGAGAGGAGCGAAATGTATTCCAGATATCTTATTTCTAACTACCGAATTTACTCGTAACTTGACGACAAACTTGACCAACTTGACAGTAACCCTACGCTACTCTCAAGTGTTCATGTCCCTGTAATCTATTTCTCTTATAATTATTTCTGTATATACGAATAGTTTCTGCTCACCTCTGTACTATCGATCACGGTAACGATCTACGGATTTGTCACCGTCGCGATAAAGCCTGCATTTCTTCCTACGCGATGCTAACAACCGCGGAAGCGAGAGATAGCACGGTGAAAGGTATCGTCGTATCGGTGCATCCTCGGCGATGGAGGCCCTAGACCGGAATCGAAAGAAAGCCAAAATGGCTTTACCGGTAAAACGAAGTCCGTGTAGTACGGCGTCGACGACGAAGCATCTTCTCGCTATGGATTTCACCGGTTTTACGCGGGTACGCGACACTCCGCTGCTTTTACCAACATTCCGGGCCTGTTGGACGCGATTCCAACCTGGTTTTCCCGGTCGAACGCGAACACTCGATTCCTACGCGATCCCACGGGTCACTGTTACATTTTATTTTTGTATTTTTAGGATGTCGCAGGAATCGGTTGGATGTTTCAGAAATAACGAAACGCGGCTACGATAGACGAACGTGAGCGAACGATGTGCGTGTCGATTCGATATCGATCGATTAGCGCATCGAGCCGAAGCTCTTGCAGATTCGCTTTTGTTTCGCAGCGCCGCCACGCATTGTTTTCGTACGCGCGGAATTCAAACGAGCCGTATACGTATTGAGTGTGTTGAAACTTCTAAAAAACTTACAGGTCCTCAATCACAGATTGAACGACAGTGGTTGAAACCCGACTTACTAGAATCACAGGAAAGGCAAAACTAATTTATTATTGTTGATACTTTGTTTCAAGAGACGAACTGTGGCGACGTGAAACCTAAACACTCGGGAGATGTGAGAGGACCCTGATTTCCTTCTGGTGTCAAAGTTTAGTCAGTCGAGCATGAGATCTCTTAATGAAAAGAACCTTCAGAAAGTCTGTTTCTGTTAATATACAGGGTGTCCTAAAAGTCGGGGAGGAGCCGGAAATGGGGGGTAGCTGAGACGATTCTGAACAACAATTTTCTTTGCAAAAATGTCGAATGGGGCTTCGTTGAGGAGATATTAAGCGAAAGGCCCTGACCAATCAGAGCGCGCGTAGACCGTTGGAGCGGCCGCGGTAGCGTAGGCTACGCGCTAGGCGGCCGCGCTCATTGGCTACCGCGAGCGCTGCATCGGCATCCTCGCGCTCTGATTGGTCGGGGTTTTCTCTTAATATCTCCTCAACGAAGCCCCATCCGACATTTTTGCAAAGGAAATTGTTGTTCAGAATCGTCTCAGCTACCCCCCATTTCCGGCTCCTCACCGACTTTTCGGACACCCTGTATAAATGGTATTAATTATTTCGGACTCCCATATCCAATAATTATTAACGCAAAACTGATCTTATGGCTCAGCAACAAATGCAATGAAACGCAAAATGTATCCATACTCGTTCGCTTCCGTTTGATTACATCTAAAAGTGAAAAACGAAACCAGAATGGTTTTCAACCACAAGAAATTCTTATTTACCATTGCTAAGGACAAATACCTCTCTAACCAAGATAAATTGTAAACTGTCCTCCCCCCCCTCTCCTCTTTAATAACGCCTTACGTAAAAGAAATCGGCTAGACTCGATGTTTATCCGTGCTCATTCAACGTTACAATACTTGTTAACCCATCGGAATGCCGAAAATTCGTATACTTTATTCTCGGCGAGGATCGCGGGCGACCGATTAATGCAAGTATGCAGGCTTCTGGTCTCTAAAAGCGAAAGAATTTCTGGGACGAATCGGCTGACACATATACGAGGCTCTAAATTATATATACAGATATTTTGTAATTAATTTATGCGCGGCTGCGAGGCAATTCCTGCATAATAATAAAAGGGAACCGCAGTTGACCGTGAAACGGAACGTTCACCGGTTTCTCGGCGTAGTATTTTCTAATCCTCGACCAGATGATTGCGAAAGAACGACCGATGCTGCCCAAAGAGAAAAGAACGTACGTCGATCCTTCAGTAGGTCAACTAATAAATTTCGGGACGTGCTCGTGAATCGTCGAATGGTGACTCACGATAAGCGGCCAGGTGTTTCACGAAAATGGACGTTTTCGTTATCGGGAGGGATGAGGTAAAGAAAATGAATTTTCCGCTCGCAGGGCTTTGCTGATTAATGAATCTGTGTTATAGCTCTGTGAACGGGGTGCAGGGAGTCAGCGATGTCAGATTTGGCTCCCAGTCGCACGTGCGCTGAACGCGCGGTGCCGTTGCTATAAGAAACAACGTACGATACTATGATCCCACAGCAACGGTTAATTATAAAAAATGTGTATCGTTTGTAAAATTATTTAAATTCTTCGAAATATCTTGCGTCGTAGGCAACGAGCTAACGACTGCGAACCTGTGTGGCAACAAGGTCTTTAGATTTAGAGTAGCAGGAGCAACACCAACCTCTACCCACGAACCAGTCCGGTGAGAGAAGAGTCCTCTGAAGAGTCCTGCACGCTATCTCGCGATCGAATCGGAAGGTGGATGAATTGTTCGATTCCTGGAGGTTGCCATCGCGAACTGCCAACGGGAAACCCAGTACCTGAAAACGTACAAGCGGTCATTCTGTACTGTCGCGTGCTTTTAACGCTTTCTCGGGGATTACATGCAAATCAAATATCCAACGAGTGGCGACTATTGCATAAAATGCTTGGAACACGTTGCCAGTGAAAGCAAACGGCTGCACTGTATAGCGACGTTTATTTACGAACGAATACCAGCATTCGCGTATGGAGACTAAGCGTATCTTATCCGTCGATTAACCAACGAGGGCTGAACCCTTATCGCGCGCACTTGGTTTCGCTTTTCCGACAATTGTACAAAGAAACGATCCCCTGTCTAGTTACAGCTCTGTGAGTTAATCGATCCGATCGAAAATAAATGAATTTAACGGCAGGTTCTTTTTCATTTTTGAGTAGGGATACTCAAGGCGGATTCTGCGAAATTTTCTCCTGAATCTTCACCGAAGATTTTCTTTCTCTTGTTAATGGGTCGTGTTACGTAATCGAACAATGTTTCTCGATAGTGAGCCCCTACAGAATATCTATTTTTTTTTTTTTTTTTTTATAAATGCCTGCCTTTGTATCAGAGAAAAGTTTGAGAAAGCTTATGTCAATAATGTTTAAGAAAAGAACTCACGGCGTCTCTCGATTAGCTCGGCTCGCTTATGGCTCGGGCCCACTTCTCGCGAGCTGCGTACTTTTCCTCTAATATTTTTCGAGTTTCTATCTACCTACGAACTTTCGTCGGAATACATACGTGACACTTGCCGCGGTTCCCTTCCGAATAGAATTCGCGGTGGTTTCGAGCCATCGTTCGTGATTCCTTTCGATGAACACGGTGTTGACTTTATTCCAGCAATCTCGAGTCGCCAATGTTCGAGCTACAAAAATAAATAAAGCGTAAAGCGTGAGCTTGTGCTGGCATCCGACAATTAAAAACGAACTTCATAGAAGCGGACGTGAAACTCTTGAAAGTCGCAAATAGGATTCAAAGCGTTTAATTAACACAGTGCTTACAGTAATACAGTGGGAATCGACGGTGCTTACAACTCCCGCCAGTAAATAAAGGGTTAAATGATACCGATTTTAATCTCTGCTTTCAACAGCCGCTCTTCCTGTACCTTTGATAAAAAGATCCCACCTATCGAATTCGCGTTCCCTTGGACGTCTAAAAATTCCTATCCTCGTCGTTGCGCAATCCCGACGAAGCATCCGTTGTTTACAAAACAATCAAGCGTGTAATCCTCTCCGCGGTCCCCCCGTTCAAATTACGTAAAACCCCTCGTTAATCGGAAGGGAAAGTGATCGTGCCTCCAGAATCCAGAAGTCGCGTGGGGTCCACGCCAATGGCTCGACGGGGATCCGTGGAAAGATGGACGATCGTCGGAACGCTAGAAAACGAAAAGAAAAAGGAACGAGAAAAGGAACGAGAAAAAGCACGAAGAAAACATGTATTATACGTATCGCGGCGAGTTCGCTGGCTACGCCTAAACGCCCCTTTTACCTTCGTAGACAAGCGTCGAGCTCGTTGGATCCCCCTCCTAGAGGATTCAGGATGTAGCGGCGCTTGGGACCCCCATATAGCGTCACGGAGGCGCTGATGGTACCCCTTCTCGTGATGGCTCTATGCTTAGGGCAACCAGCCGCTTAGACGGAGGAACGTTCGCTATAAAAGGCTCCGTAGCCACGAGGTATTCGTCAGAGAAGTGACGAACCGTGAAAAATAAAAAAGGCGGCAGCCTTTGCCGTTCTGTTCGTCCAAACCGCGGTGAACCACGCAACCCCGTCCCTGCCTCCGAAGATGCGGTCTAGCCTGGTCAGTGAACAAACATAATTCCGTCGATACCGTGGACAACGCGTTCGTATAGTGCGATCTGTGAATTGTGAGACACGTCTGTTACACGTGGGGGTGGAGGAGTGATCGCCGAAGGGAAACCGATTCCACGTCGTGTGAATCGTCTCGATCGGAGTCCGATCGAAACCGTAACGTATAGTTCGACCGTTTGCGCTCGAGAAGCCAACCCTAGGTCGCCGCTGGATTACGTGGTGGTCGATCGTCTTTTGGTCACGTTAGATATCGTTGAATTACGAAGCATCGGCAGGTCTTCGTGTATTTCGTAGATTGAAGTAACGACGGGGTTCTTTGTCTCCGTTATATTTTTAGACGTTGGAACGATCGATCGGATATTACAAAATCGTGAACGCTTTTGTTTACGTGCCGGCTCGGTATCGATCGATTCGCGTGACCTACCACGTGTTCTTTTCTGAAACAAAAGGAATATCGAATAACTCAAATATCATTCGGAACAATCGCGACTAACGTTTATTAAATTAAATAACCTGAAGGCAGGTTCGATACTAATTTTACCGTTAAATAAAACTTACTTCTGAATTTTGTATTTATCATCAATTTTTAATCTTTTGCTTTCTCGATCGATTCTTGCGTAAATTGATTGGTATGATTATTGAAGGTCATGTTTTGAAGGTAATTCAGAAGTAAAGGGATGCGATGGTTACTTCGATGTGCTAGCATTTCCTCGGAACTGAAATTATGTAGTTCTGCTTTCGAGCTGACTTTTCGTTTTGGTCTGGAGGAAAGGACGACCTAGGAGAACGTAATTAATTGTTGACTCGTTAGAGAAATGCCGACTGTGCAGATTTTCTAAGTAAGGTATTCTAGTCGCTACTCAGCTGGCGTAGAAAGTCGAGCAATGTGCTCGTGCCTCGAATGATCATCTCTCGTGAAACTGTACCAAGGGTAATTTGCACACGTCCAAACTTCCGCGTTTAACGTAACTGAAAAGTCTTTCTGCGATGAAAATCTTCTACGTACCGAAACAATCAGAAATAAACGTGTAGGAGTCTGAATGAAAAATAATGATGCACCGCGAGGGATTTGAACCCACGATCCTCGGATCCACAGTCGAACGCTTTACCAACACGACCGATCCCTTAACCTACGTTTCGCGTTCTCAGTTGACTATTTAAAAAAATAGATTTAGAGAAGGTTTAGGTTAAACACTCTAGGTTTCATATCGGAACTATTTTTGGAATTCAAGCAAAATTATTCTCTCCACTTATTTTGTTTCGAGAACGACAATTTTTCTTAATTTTAATTCGACTTCAACGACGAATTATATTAACAATACTGAAATTAATTTAAATTAAAAGAGCATGTATATTACTTCTATTGAACTGCATTTTCTCGATCAAACTTTGCGCAAAAAAAAAAAGAATTCATAATAGAAGAAAATTGTTGTACTTGGTCTGAATTTCGAGAATATTAAAACAAAAATGTCTACAAAATTTATGAATCGTCTCGTGTACATTGGCGTACCGGGAATAACAAAGATGGTAGCGAGTTACGAATCATGCTACACTTTTCTCTTTCCATCATCAAATTGATGTCCCGCGGTGCCGCTTTCTATCGATCGATCTTTCGGTGCTTTCGTGGATCTCGATCGTCTGTCGACGACCACGTGCTCGAGCATGCCTGATCGTCGATGATAGAGCATGACGAGAGTATAACGACGACCAGATAAGCCCACGTTATTAAACTTGTCCGTTCGGTTCTTGATCTTGACACTGGCGATCCGTAACGATCGACGTAACGGGAAAGCGCGGTCCGTGTTGATCGCGTGTCCTAAGAGCTGAATAAAAAAGAAATTAACGAAAATAAAATGAAAATTATTTCTGAATTTTTCATAGATCCTAAACTGAAGTATCATTTTGAACAATCGAGACCTGATTAAATTAAATAATACGAGGGAAGGCCCGACACTGGTTTCCTCCATGATACAAAATTTGCTTACGATTATAACACTTTCCTTCTTCGTGCGTCAGAAAGTGAAACAAAAAAAAAGAAAAAAAAAGAAAAGAAAATTAAGGAAGATCGAGGAACGAAATTGAGAGGCCCACTTTCGCTGTGGTCCAGCGTTAACGAACGCTTGGAGTTTCACGATCATCTCCCCTTGGGGGCCGTAAAAGAAAAGGGGCCCCCTCGACCCAATTCACGAAGTTGTTTATGCCCGTTCGGCGGTTCGCACGCGGACACTTTCATTTTTGAGAGACTGGCTCGTAAACCGACAGAATCGCGCGTTATACGGAGCTGGTGGCTCGGGAGAGATGCCACCTGGTAAAAGTAGCCTCCCGCTTATGGCAACGACGCTCCTCGCGACCTGTCCCCTTTTGTCTCTCGCATTTCCATATTACTGCTCGATGGAATGTCTCGGTCGTTCGCGTGGAAATTTCGATTTCACGTGGAACTCGGCTCGGGGACGACGCAAATATTTGGATACCCCAGAAAGCGTTGGGCATTTTACAGCAATATGAAACGTACAATATGAAAGCAACTTTATGGCTCAATTTTTCGTAACTGGAACTCGGTAATCGTTGGAGATTAAATCGTAACGTGCGAGGAACCTGCGTTCTTGTAACTTGGTCGTCCACTTGTCGTTAATTTATTATCAATTTGTGGAGGTAATTTATCCTCAACTTTTACAAAGGGTCTCTCAAATTCGATGATATTTTAATTCTCTTATAAAACACAGATGGAATTGCGAATTCGCCTGGGTCGTGACACATTTCAGAACTATTTATAAGCATTTGTAAAAATGGCTTTGTACACGATACAAGAATGTGTTACGTTATCTTACGAGGACCCGGAAACGTTACGATTAATTATCCGACAATTATTAACGAACCTCTCCCACGGAATCGTGCCACTAGGTTCAACATACTCCAAGACTCGGATCGACCATGGCTCGCTATCGACTCACCCACATCAAAATATTAATTTATCGAGCGATAACTCGGAGAAGAGTCTATAGCTAGCCCTCGAAGGCCGCGAGGAATACAGATGGAAATCGGGTTTTAATTATCGGTATAATGCTCGTGTCTGAAGCGCTGTTTCAGTCGGAGTACAAGAGATCGGTATCGGTATCCACGGAATTTCTAGGTAGTAACGTGTTACTTGGCGTAACTACCGAGCCACGACAGGCGTCACCTACATGACCAACGTGCCATGATTGCCTTGTCTGCATTTGTACCTGGGACGATCGGCGACGCTTTCTTCCGACAGCGTTCGACCTGAAGTATAATAAGCAAAAGTGGAATTAATAATAGTAGAAAAATTATTATTTCGAAAGGATTTATGTTTCATAAACATGTACCTACTTGATGATCGTTGAAATCGGTCGACAGCGGCCGACCTCCATATTCAAATTCAAACCGGCTCGCGGTTGCCGATTGCAGCGCCAACCGTCTTCCTATTATTCCACGCGTTTTCCTTTCTTTCGCAACAACAAAAGTTTTTGTTACTGTTATCCTTACGCGTTATCATTATCATATATATCTACTTTACGTTCAGTAATAAAATAATAATTGCGTATACATACCCAGACTGCTTCATTCGAAACCCCAATAATGATAATTAAACTTCTTTTTCCAGATACTATTGGGCTGGCTCTTTTTCGTCTCCGCCCTAGGGGAGCCGATAAGGACAAAGAAAGAGTAAGCGCGCATAACTCCTTAAACTATTCCTATGCTTGTACTAAATGTATCGTTTAACTCTCAATTATTATCTAAAAGATCTATCGTAGAAATTTCTACTCCATGAAAAAAGTCATCTACTACCTGTTTGAATAAGCTAGCTCTCAGCCTAGAGTTCTGATGTTCCGGAGCCCTGGAGTTTCAGGGTTCCCGTAGTCCTAACGTCGCGATTCAGTTACAATTTATAAATCGTAGAGCCCCGTTAAGCCCGCCCCCGAGCCAGTACGGTCCACCAGCAACCTCCTATGGAGTTCCAAGCGTAGGAAGCTCGTACAGCGCGTCGTCTGACTCCTACGGCGCTCCACCAGCGCCATCTTCGTCCTACGGCGCGCCATCTTCGTCTTACGGCGCGCCATCTTCGTCTTACGGAGCACCAGCAGCGCCATCTTCGTCCTACGGAGCGCCATCAGGGCCGTCCTCCTCTCACGGCGCGCCCTCGTCATCATACGGCGCACCGTCGGGCCCATCATCGTCTTACGGAGCACCATCGGTCCCATCCTCTTCTTACGGAGCGCCGTCGTCGTCTTACGGGCCACCATCGTCTAGCTATGGTGCGCCGTCGGGTCACGGTGGCGACCAAGGTTACAGCAGCGGTGGATCCTTTGGAGGTGACGACCATGGTGGACACGGAGGCGGTGGCGGTGGCGATCATGGGTCCTTCGGAGGCGATCATGGCTCGTTCGGTGGAGGAGACCACCATGGAGGAGGTGGAGGAGGATTGTCCTCTTCCTATGGCCCCCCGTCTCAATCCTACGGGCCTCCGTCTCAATCCTACGGACCTCCGTCTCAGTCCTACGGGCCTCCGGCTCAGCCGCAAGGGCGATTCGAGAAGAAGCTGACGTGGAAAGCCGAGTGGAAGCAAATCTGGAAGACCGAGCAGAAGTTAACGTGGAAACAGGAGTGGAAAAAAGTCCAGGTGCCCGTGTGGAAGGAAGTCCAGGTCCCGGCTTGGAAGGAGGTCAAGGTACCCGCTTGGAAGAAGGTACAGAAGCCAGTGTGGAAGGAAGTCCAGGTGCCCGTTTGGAAGGAGGTCCAGATCCCGGCGTGGAAGAAGATCTGGAAGCCCGTGTGGAAGGAGGTGCAGGTACCAGCGTGGAAGGAAGTCCAGGTCCCCGACTGGAAGAAGATCTGGGTGCCAGAGTGGATCAAGGTCGGGATACCCGGCGAGCAGTACGTCGGCAAGGACCAACACGGCTGGCAGTACACCAGCCACGATCTCTGGAAGAAGAAACTGATATGGAAGCCGGTATGGAAGAAGGTCTGGCGAACGGAGAAGAAGAAGGTCTGGGTGAGCGACAAGAAGCTGGAGTGGAAGGCCGAGTGGAAGCAGATATGGAAGACGGAGAAGAAGCAGGTCTGGGTGTCCGACAAGAAGCTGGTGTGGAAGGAGGAGTCGGTGCAGGTTTGGGTGCCGGAGAAGAAGCAGATTTGGGTCACGCAGAAGAAGCAGGTCTGGAAGGACGAGTGGAAGAGCAAGTGGGTCCCGGTCTGGAAGGACGTGCAGGTGCCGGCGTGGAAGAAGATCTGGAAGCCCGTCTGGGAAAAAGTCTGGGTACCCGAGGAGCCCCACCACGACGAGCATCCTGGTTACAAGTAAAACACCAACCTCGAGTGTGATCATTTTCGATCCTCCTCATCTAAACGGGCCGGGGTTGGTATACACGCGAATCCGAGACAGGGTTCGATTCACGGGTTTAAATGTTACTTTTTAAAGAATAATGTTTCATACAAATTACAGAGGTATTCACCTGGCACGCGAGCATGATGGAACGCAATGCTTTGTACCTCGGTGAAGTGCTAAGATTCGGGCTAGCTAAGATCGACAGACTGCGGATCTTTGTGCAAGTTCATATTTTCACAGATACAGGAAAAGAACCGATCCAGAAACAATAGTCCAATAGTTCCAAATAATAGTTTCCAACAAAAAGTTTCTTTCGCTTTATTAATAAGTAACACGCACAATATTTGATGTTTTATGTTACATTACTGAATCGTCCACGACTCGTTTTGCTCCATTGCTGTTACAACATGAATATCTATGAAATTAGATTGTCTATTTATAGAAACACGATCACATCAAATAATTGAGTGCAACTCGCGAAAGAAACTTTCGGGACAACCTAATAATTTTCCATTCGCACAAACATCCGCAGTCCAGCGATCAATGATTATGATTACCACTACGGTTGATAAATAATACAATGCACGATGAATTAATCGTACAGTATAATCGGGCCCGTTTCGCAGTTATTGTATCATCTACGCGTAATACATAATGAATGATATTCATCAATCGGTAATCATGACCAATGATCGACGAATTATCTCTGAAAGATCGCAAACTGCTGATTCGCTACCGCAAAGGTAATTAATGACGATCGATTTGACAATCGCGAAAGCGATCGCTGCCCAACTCATTTGGCGTAGCGGTCGCGGAGGTCGAAGGTCCACTTCGAAAGTCGAGTTCCACTTCGCGACGCAGAAGCATCTTTTGAGCGAGCCATGTTCCCTGGGGCATCGCGAACGAGAACTCGGCTCGGTAGCCGCGATTACGGTAACGGCGCACCGAGTTTCACGAGTCCGTGGGAAAAGCGATCGAACGACGTTGGAACCGATGCGCCACGGAGGAGGTGAGAGTCGGTGGCGAAGTCCTCGCGATGCGCTGGAAAGCAAATCGTGTAGTTTAGAAACGTGACCGACGATACGGACCGTAATGTATTCTTGTATCCAGACCTTGGAGGCATCTTTCGTGTAACTTTCCTCGAGATTTCATTCGTCGTATTATTATCTTTTCTCGTTATTAATCCGTCGTTGATCTTGAAAGGGAAGGGAGGTTTCTTTTTTTTTTATTTCTAACTTCGTCGAATGCCTTTTTACGCGTTTCAAATGATCCGGTCTGGTCCCACTCTTTCCGCTCGTTTTCCCTAAATATAATTTCAACCGACCGAAATTCCGCCAACAGTTTCGCAATTATATTGCTCCGTTCGCGACACGTTCGATGTAATTAATTGTCACCTGTAAATAACGGTTTACTGAGGTGTAAACGTATCGATATTTTTGTACAATGTTTATGTATGTTACCGTAATAAAATATTTTTTTATTTATGCCTACATGGTTCGATCTCTAACCTTCCATTCTTTGCGTCGTAATTACTGCAATCCGGACCGTTTACTTTTATCGTTAAATAACAACGAGATCTTGTTCGACGCAATGATATTGATAACGTCTCGTGAAGAGTTGCTGCGAGTTTTACGTCTCTAGATACTCGACGGATCAAACAAACATTCACCTGTAAATCGTTTACGCAGTTCGAAGACGACGAGACGCAAGTTTCGTCGAGAGGAAGCGATACGTGGATAATATCCACTGGATATCAGCGTGCGAGTAAAAAGGTGGAAAAACGTTTTTTTCCGATTCCCACGACGCCGGGCGTTAGAAACGCGAGGACGTTGATTCCCATTGAACGAAAGCGTGGCTTCGTAGCGCGACGAGCGAAGATGAAAGATGCTTTCTAGGGATAAGATGAGATTTCAAGGAGAAGAGCACGGGTCCCAGGGTCCTCGGGGTCGCGATTCGCACTCGCGACCTTTACTTTCACCGGTTCCCGCGCGCGATCGACGCGTGGGACGAGAAAGGACGAAGACGAAGGCGAAGACGTTAGGACGAAAACGGAAGTGGCACAGCCTGATCGATCTTCGAAGATCCATAATAACCGCGCGCGCGTGGAATCCATGTGTGCGCGCATAACCGAAAACAACGAGGAAGAAACTTTCCAACCAGGAACCAGAGAGGCTGATTAATCGATCGGTCGTCCGGAGATGACGCGTTGAAGAACGACGGAGGAAGTCGTTATCTTTTTTAACAATCCATCCATTGAAGATCAAGGTAATTTATAGTAAACTGTTAGGGTGCAGGTAAGATATTCGGCAAGATATTCTTACGGAGACGAATTTGAATATTTGTGAAAATGAAGTTTACGGGGATTCAATCGCAGGGCGATTTTTCATTTTCAAGGAGAAACGATCTTTAAAGTGGAAACATTTCGTCGACAGGTGGTTATTTTTTCTGGTATCTATGAAACCATAATTATCACACTGAAGTAATACTATTTCGGAGAGTTATTTATTAGCCTCGTTTCAAATAAAATTTCCTCTGATCTGGTTGCACCTTTCCCTCGCTCGTGACTTTCAAGTTTGGTCTGCAATTTTTATCACCAGTTGAATTCGCGATTTTCATATTTGGCGTAAAATTTTCGTCGCGAGTCGGACTCGTGATTTTCAAATTTGTCCCGAAACGTTCGTGTCAACCCTTTGCGCTCGAGTGGCGCCTCCAGGGCGACGTACCTAATATAAAAGTGATTTTTGAACGTACAATTTCAATTCTACTTACATCGAAATCCAGCTAAATATTAATTTAAATAATATACATCTAATCGTGAACGTTTTTAGACGTTTCTTTTCGAAGCAGAGTTTTTGCTTCAACGAATTTTTATAATAAAAAACGGGCTCGATTTGATTCTATAGAGAAATGCCTCGAGCGCAAAGGGTTAATATCGAAGGTGATTGCATAACCATTTAAAACTAGAAACTTCGGTTCCCCTAATATTTCTGACGTTTAAAACCATCTAACAACCCATCGTTATTTCGTACTTCGATTCTGTATTTCGAAACTTCCTCCCTAGTATGTTAAACTTCTTCTTCGTGGTGTATAACGGAAAGATGAACGGTTCTGGTAAGTGGAAGTCGGTCGCGAAGAAGACTCGCGCTGCCTCTTCCTCATTACCTCGACCTTAATAACGAAACGTCGGTGTTCCTCTGCTTTCTTCCGTCGCGATTTCGCGTGGGTAAGTTTTAATTCGCGATGCTCGCGCGTGAGATAAGAAAATCCGCTTTCGAACGTCCGCCTACAGGTGGAGGCAGCTGACTCGAGCCGATCGCCAGGTAAATGCCGTGCCGCGCGTAATCGAGCTTGTGGAAAAGCTTCGATTAACGCTCGGCGTGCTTCCACGAGCAGTGAAAGTTCTCCAACATGGCGGATCGGTCGTGTACGCTACATTACTCGTTATGGCTCATTCCCCGTGCACACGTACGTTTTTCTTTCCACAAACGACGAATGCATTTAATTATAACGCGATTGAAGTTCGTCTTCAGGATTCCAAAGATCTCGGAATGCCAAGAATTCGTGAACCGTGAAATTTTCTACGGTTTCGTGGAATTCAGACGCGACGAATCCGGACGCGTTCGTATTCGACTTTCGTCGTTAAAGCGTCGCGAAGAAGTCATCATTTAAATGTCTAATTCGACGGACATTTTACGATCTTGTAACTACGAGCCTGTCGTCGTCATTTATTCGTGAGTTTCGTTTTCGATGACGGTGGTCCAAACGATTCTCGTGATTTACGCGCGACGCTCTTCGTAATGTGCCGCTTATCTAAACGTTAGCGATCGTCTTTAAACGAATCGACAGGCGAATTGTGTAACAACGCGTCCGTTGCTTTTAAAAAAGATCACGGGAGAAATTAAAACCAGAGGACAATATTGATCGATTGATAATGTATTTAAAAAAAAAAAAGGTTTTAAAAAATGCAGACGAATCATGAAGAAGAGTCTCGGCTTCTGCACCGACTTCGTGGAAATGTGACAACAGTCCTAGTTGCGCCGAATTTAAAAGAACGTCTCCCTCCTTTCGCGACGCGATCTCATTGGTGCGATTGTTGGTTGCATTACGAATCACATGTTCCCTTCTAACTGACTTTCTACGCGCGTTATACCGTAGTCCATCCAAAACCGCGAACAATGGCACAATTGTGCGCTTCGAACTGCTCTAGATATTTTCATGTACGCGAAGATACACAGGCTCCTTAATAGAGGTCTGAAGTCACCCACATTTCTGATACCATTTTAGAACGCATTCTTGCGAAAGTAGAATGCAATCTTATTGTTAGTAAACGTATTATCTAGTCAAGGAATAGCTTATTTCTATTATCGAATTATGTGCAAGAATTCTATTTAGTGATTATTTTTGTCTGGTTGAAAACAGTGGATTCGTTACGGTGACTCGAGCGTCCTTGCACTCTCGGCCCGTTCATAGTGAATCGAAACATCGAAAGTTGTTCATGCTTTATGTATGGCGTGCCGCTAGGACACGCACGATCACATGTATTACCCAATAGAAAGTGATTCGTTCATGTTATGGATTTGCGGCAATTTGCAGTTCACGAACATCTTCATTAACCGAGTAAAGACCAGCACGATGGAGCCTTTGCCGTGTAGTTACAAATTGTTCGCGTTTCGCAATGTAAATTCTTCGTTTGCAATTATTCGTTTTCAACGATCGAATCTTTGTTTATTTTATAGATTGAGTAGTTAATTGTAACTTTCGGAGCCGTGGGCTCCGAAATTCTTGGAGCTTCGGAGCTTTTTGGATTTCTGGAATTTTAGAGGTCCAGAATTCTTGGAGTTGCAGAGCTTTGAATTTCTGAAATTTTAGAACGTTCCAAAATTCTTTGAATTCCAATGCTTTGGTCTCCTAGAATTTCAGAATTCCAGAATTCTTGGAGTTCTAAAGCTTTAGCTTTCTGGAATTTCAGAATTTCAGAATTCTTGGAGTTCCAGAGCTTTAAATTCCTTGAATTTTAGAATTTCAGAATTCTTGAAGTTCCAGAGCTTTAAATTCCTTGAATTTTAGAATTTCAGAATTCTTAGAGTTTCAGATCTTTAAATTTCTGGAATTTTAGAATTTCAGAATTCTTGGAGTTCCAGAGCTTTAAATTCCTTGAATTTTAGAATTTCAGAATTCTTAGAGTT